TTCCCCGTTTTTATTGGGCCTCGCTTCTGCAAAAAACCAATAAAGATTGATCCGACGGTTGGTAGCGGTTTACTTGCTTTCGTGGCAACTGTTAGTGTACGGTTCTACTGTAGACTTCACAACACCTGATTCCGACCAAAAATAATAAAATGAATCTTTGCGGTTTTTCTTTCATTTGTATAAAAAAAAAAAACAATTTTGATTTTGTTATAAAACGAATCGATTTTCTTTGTATTAATTAATATTTTGGGTACAATGATAGACTTTAAAGAAGTATTGCTAGTAGTAATAGAAAATCTTGGAATTTTCAATTGGAAATAATGTAAGTTCATGTATATATCCCCTGGAATCAATCATTTAGTTTCTGCATGGATTTTTGTATAATTATAGAGATGCTTAATAATAATAATAGTAGCGTTTACCAAACCCCGGCCCTTAATTAAATTCTCGATTAGGTGACTTTTGAATCCATTTGATCTAAGAATGTAACATGTTAATAAAATTATTTGATTAATTAACGGTCACAAAAAAACCTGCTAAATTCTGGGAAACCGACGAAAAAAAAAAGAAGAAGAAAATTATGGGCAACTTTTTTCCAATAGGTCAGCTTCTCGGCCACAATTCAAGGATACTATTACTAATTTATTTCAATTCATAAAGTTTCACATTCTTTATTTAAAGTCTCAAAATGAGAATAAACGTACTTCATATAAAGATGATCTATATTTTAAGATACTATATGCCTTTCCCAATTATAATATGATCATTCCCAAAAACTTATACAGTTTTCTTATCTTATTTTCATTGTAGAATGTTTTTTTTAATGAAATTCAGAAGTTTTTTTAATGAAATTCAGAATCATAATTTTAATCTCATTTTCGCACATAACGTATCTAACGTTAAACTAATCCACTGGATTTTTTTTTATATATAACAAAACGGATCTTTTAAAATTATGTATTTTTAAAAGGGAGTAATATATAGATTTTAACATATCTTTTAAAATACAACGGACGATTTATTTCAACTTATCAAGATCCAACCAAACAAAAAAAAAAGATAATTAGTGCACTGATCAGTATCTGAAGATATTACAAATAGCATATTCTATACACTTGTGGGTGTTGTTAGTTAAAAATGAGGGATTATCCATTCGAGTCTTTTGTTATTTCTGCTGAAATTTCATCATCGTCACCAGCATTTGTATTAATAACGATTTTTTTTTCACTTAAGCATGTATTACTAACAAAATAGTTTTTATATTCAGAGAGATAACACTCAGATTATAAGATTCTCATAAATATGTTAGTTCAATAGTAACAAATTTACAAAAAAAAAAAAAATTCGAATAATTATAGCACAATATTTGACAGACTTCATAAATATTATAAACGTTGGGTCAACTACAGCAATAAAAGGAAACGTCAGGACCAAAAGCATAAATACATAACTATGGAGGACGGATTAAAGAAAACATTACACACGAATGCATTCACCGCGCAAGTCCGACGTGGCAGACACGTGGCTATCCGTGATATTGCGTGCTTTAACCGTGATTTTAGTGGTTATTTCACAGATCCTCTTTTAGTCAAAATAATTAGGAATTTTTGTCTTAAAAATAAAAAGAATCATAATTCGAACTTCTAATTATACTTTATTATAATAAAGCAGATTCATTACATAACTCGATTTCGAACCAACCTATATACTCTTTTATTAACCAACCAGCCTCATCAAGAATTGAGTTTCTTTGATTATCATCATATATAAATCTAAAGATTTTATAAGTAATCAAACATGACACATACAATCAGGAGCAGGATAAGTATAAATCGACTGTTTAGGTTTCCTTAACCGGATCTGTCCTTGTCTATTCACATGTCCTTCACCAAGCGCTTGTTGAAAATCGACCCAAGTGATGCTCTTGTTGAGGAAAAGCTGTCCGATAAGCGCCATGTTCGGTCTAATCGTCTTGAGATTCTCGAATGTTCGATGACCGACGAGTGCATTGTGCATGTTTCCAGGTGATGCAGAGATGAAAATGTCGCTGTGCATACTTACATAGTAATCAAGTGCAGCTAATAAAGAAGCTTTGCCTTTGATTCGAGCTCGTTCTTCGGAAGAAGCTAAACTTCTTTTGTCTTCCATTCTTGGGAATACTTGTCGTAATGTCGAGATTCTAGCTTCTCCTCCATACACCTGAAACGATTCTAGTTAGTGTTTATCGAAAGAAACCATACTTTAAACGAAAAAATGTGACGAAAGAGTCTCTGAACGACCTTGTGAGATGCGAGATAGAGACGGGTATTGTTGTCGAATCCGAAAGCAGCTAAAAGAAGTCCCATTTCTTCTGGTGTTAGAGGACACCGTCCTTGGCTTCTTAACTCTTCGTCTGTGAATTGAGAATTCAAGACTCGTCCTTGCCAAATCATTTGTCGGTATTTCGCCAATGCAAGTTTCTCGGCTTTGCCTCCGCCAAAATCACACGCCGAATGCGCAGCCATGTCCTATATAGGAATTACTTCTTATGACCAAATAACTCAAAAGACAATCATCAAAATGTTATGAACAGAGTAAACTTTTTTACCTTGTCGAAACGAAGGTGAAGAACAGCGAATTTTCCAGGCTCTTGTCTACTGTGTGAGTTGGTAATGTCACGCAAATGATCCACATTTTGTTGTTCCTTGTTGTTTCTCCATGACGGGTTTCTAAGACGGCTCACAAGAGCATCACCGAGTGATGTAATGTGAGGTACAAAGCGTAAAGCTTGGAAATTTACTTTGCATCTTAGCCGTTGGATCTCAGCAGGTAAGTGATCAAACGATAGACGGTGAGAGAATGGAGAAATAGCAGCAATCCCGAAACTACAAAAAAAAAAAAGAACAAGCTCCAAACATTAAGGATCTAAAAGTTTTAACCAGAATTCCTTCTAATTTTTCATTTTCAGATTAGGTAAAGGACGCATACCTTTGAAGAACCGGTGAAACGTTCTCGATATACCAATTCGCAGAAGCGTGAACAGGCGCGGTTTTCACTCTGGTTTCACGGACTGCTGTGGCGTAATACTCTCTAGTGCTCCAAGATAATTCATCAGGAAGTTCTCTAACTACTCTTATATCATCCTTCAACGATTCGATAAAATGATCCACATCAAAGATATCAACAAAAGAACTGCACACAAAACACATAAACTTCAGGTTCAAAAAACCCGAGGCAGCACAACTCTTCGATGATCATGAATGAAGGCAACACACTTTCCCAAGAAACATTACCTTGAATCTTGCCAAACAGGATTCACTTCAAGATACGGGATCACGAGTGTTGCGTTTAATATCTTAGCAACCGCAACTGCATCACATATCCCCATTCGTTGTTGGTTAAGACCTCCATCAAGAAACACCTGAATATATCCCTCGGTTTTCTCCGGTAATGCTGCTCCAATACAACAAGTAACAGCGAGAGATTAAACAGAGACCAATCTTAATCTGAAACTAATCAGATAAATTTTCGAACTTTGTTGAATACTTACAAGGAGCATTTCCCAAATCAATACAAGGACTCCATCCTTGATCAGTCAATGGTCTCCATAGATCAGATTGTTCTCCACTTGACTGGAATTACAAGACACAAATCTCATAACCTCTTTTTTAAACTTCCAATATTGAAACTAATCATGAAGAATCATCAAAACTTTTACCCGTTGCAAAGCACCCTTTAACAAAGATAAATGTCTTGGCTTTATTGTGATCACTTCCTGCAAAACCCAAAAAAACTTCACTACCTAATTCAAGAGAGACTCTCTTGACTTGAAATTAAAACAAGTCTAATAAAGTTCCAAAAACTAGTCAATTTTTGTAATAAACCAAACCGTTAATAATCTATAAATCCAACAAAACATCAGTGGGAAGAATAATCAACAAAACACAACAACCGTTGATGCTCTTTCTCTTCATATATATTTCTATAAATGTATTCAAATTGAAAAAATTTCTTCAATAAGCAAAAGTTTACACTACCATTTCTGGAATCTTAAGACAAATAGTCTGAGTAAACTTTCCATAGATAAAAAAAAAAAAAGAGGAAATTTTTTTTGTTGCGTTTTTGATTTTCCCGGAATCCAACCAAAATATTCCCGAGAAAAACATGGAAAGAAAGTAAATTTTCACAATTGCCCAAAACTTACAGATGATGAAGCGTTGCAAAGCGAAACGACGACGAAGAAGATCACATAACAGAGAAGCCCTCTTCTCAAGTTGGCATAAAGATTCATCCTTTTGTTTTTTTTCCTCAGGCTGAGTAGAAACGAAACCACCCAGATCCAGTTTCCGGGAAAAAAAAAGTCGGAGACTTTATAATCAATCAATGAATACCCAGAAACCGAGAAAGAACAAATCACAAGTTTAGTGGAGAGAATAAAAAAAAAGTAACGAAACCAGAATCACATGAATCAGAATGCTCTCTTGTCTCTTTCTCTCGCTACTTGTTCTTGTAGAGTTTGTTTTTCTTCTTCTTCTTCGCAGTTATTGCAAAGATTAAAACTTTTCATCAAATTCCCAGGAAGAAAGGTTTATAAGGATGAAGAGAGAGCGCGTGAATGTGTCTCACATGGACACCTGTTCATTAAATTTTGCTGTCTGTCTCCATGGGACCCCTTCTTTCTTGCAAACAAATATACACTGTATATTAGTACTACTAACAC